AAAATCGCGGGATTTGATTTAGGGACACGCCAAAGCAATTATGAGTGCACGTTTCAAGAGACGTCTTCTCGCGCGCGACTCCCTTATGAAGGCATAAAAGGTGGCGGAGAGGATGAGCCTGGAGGGGTAGAGTTTGGCTTTGTGCAGGGTCGCGGCAGCGTTGAAGCCGACAAAAGATAAGCTGTTATTTATAACCCGACTTAAGGAGAGAGTTGGGGGACGCGTTTAGGGAAAATAAAATCACTCCGAAATCGCGCGAATCGCGCATAATAGGTACACTCCACATGTCTTCGTCCACCTGTGTCACAGAATAAGACAGCATGAATGAGCAGGAATTATTTTCCAGATATACAAATTAAGAATAAAACGCGCACATATAGTGCATTCTAGTTTTTATTTATCATTCAGCTCGTTATTGAAATCTTTTGAAATGCTTATACCTATATGTATCTTATTAAGAGATCATATACAAAGCCTCATTATTTCCTTTTATTGTTATTTCTATTTTTATATATGTTTTCGCTTTTAGTTTTACAAATGATATTCCATAAACGTCATATTAAAATATATATTTTATTAAAAATTTATATTATTTATAAAAATATGAATATGTCATATTTCTTGATTTATGACCTCTTTCAATTTTATTATAATTGTTAATATCAAAGGACTTCTTCCTTTACATTTTAAATTTTATCATACACAATAGATATTGAGTTTGCTTCGTATAAAGTACACATTGTTTATAATGTTTTTTAATAAGAAATATTTTAAAGAAGTTTTATCGTCTCGACATAGATCTTATTACATATTATTACATCATAGATTATAAAATTAGACTTTTATTCAAAAAGAACTACAGAAATCTGATGTTCGAGATTAGGCTCATTAACGACTAATTCGAACGATCAGCCGTAATTCAAGCCAACAAGTGTGATGTGTTATACTGCCTTTTTTCACAAGTCCATATATTTTACATGCTTTATAAGTTCTGTCTTTCCAAATTATTTAATTCATCGATATGTTAGCAAAGCGATATTTGTATTGATAAAGACTGTCGTACAGTTGAAACGTTTACTAATTATCATTTATATTATTTTCATGACGTACCATCTAAAAATTTTTTAACACCTAATCAATTAGCTCGTTAAGTTGGCCTTTTAATTTTATTACTTATTTCAATTTCATCATTAGTTTGTTAATATCCAAAAATGTCTTCTCACGCGCGTCTGAAAGTCATCGCTGGGATCCAGCCGAACCTTCTCGGTCTCTCAAATCCTTTCATCGTTCGCTACGAAAGCCATATCCCGGTCATCGATGCCCTCCCTCATGCAAGTGTGTTTCGCGAGGCAACAAAGTTCATTCTCGTTTCTTCCCTAAAAACGCACCCCCTTTCGTTCGCTCCGAAGCAGCGGAGCGTAGTCCGAAGATCCGAGCGCAGACGGCGCGGCGGAGATACCTAAAGATCCATCTTCGACGTTATGCCGCTGCCGGCGGTTGGGGGTGGCAGGACAGGGGCGTCGCCAGCGGCGGCGCCGCGCCGAGAGGGTGAGACGCGAAGGGGTGGGAAAGGGGAGGAGGTCGAAGCTTCCGAGCCGGGGGCGAGTGGGTGGATGGCACCGGCTCCTCGAACTGATCAATACCTGAAACACCGCGAGGTATCGTCCCGCTATTTCCGGTGTCCCAGCGCGGCCGGAAATGAAGGCGTTAAAAATATACTCCAGATAGCGCGCGCCGGTATTATATCCTCTTTCCCGGTACAGGTGCCCTCAATAGTTGAGACGATGGGGGACCGATCTGACATTTCGCGATGGAGGGACGTGCGCCAGGATAAGTCACACCAATGACAGTTCGCGGTGATGTTCGAAGAAAGCGAAGCGAGCGGCTCTAATCAGTTCATTTCGCGCGAGATAATCGTGGAAAAAGTAGCAATCATTCTTCTCTCTCTCTCTCTCGTCATAATAAAGAGATACAGTTATCTCCTCCGCGATATCTCGCAAGAAGGAAAATTATATTTTACCTAGCGACTGACAAGTGGGGATGGCTTTTTTTTTAGATAATTTTACATTGTTTGCACTACAGTAGAATGATGAATCATTTATCAAGTTGTTTATTTTTTTTTTTTTATTTAATTCTTTGATACATCTCTTTGTGTTAAGAGCACAGAAAAAAAGGAATCCTTGATTGAGGTATATTTTTATTCTTGAACGCTATTTGATTGATTTAAGCATAGAATGCTTTTTGTAATCACAAATTTTCATTTGCCTTAATAATAAATAAGTTTGTGTGAAGTGTATTTTATCCTTAAGATATATTCTGTTTTAAAAATCGCATATGGTAAAAACAAACTTAGTCACATTTGAACTAAGAATTATTATATATACTTGAAAGTAGCGCTTATATCCGATGCACACTTGTCCTTGCAATATTTATAAGTAAATTTCAGCTTCAACCAAGAATATTTTGCACTTTGTTTTAAGGATAAATTATCCTTTATCCAAAATGATTTATATTTGGCGCTATTATAAGGATAAAATATACTTGAATCAAGACATATACTGTTTTTTTCTGTGAAATTGTACACTACATTACAAATTTGTAATACATGATTATTAGACATCACTGACGTTTGTCAATGTAAAATCACGATTTCATCGTTATTCAAAATCGATTAGGCTCCGCTGATTAGACGAGAGTTTGCACCAGTCGGAGATGGCTGCGAGATGATCGTTATTGGAGCGTACTGTACGCTCGCGCGGGCGATGGCTCTTTATCTGGGAGGGCCCGGTCTGATCGACTTTTAATTATAGCTATCTGCTACCTGGTTCGCTGGTATTCGGGCGTGCAAGGGTGAGCGTGAGTAATCGACGCGCCGAGATGATCGATCCCGAAGCCATTTTCTCGCGGTCGGAATCTTCATTTCGCGGTGGTTACTGCATGAATTTGATACCGCGTGAATATTCACAACCGCTATCGCTGCCGCCATTGTGTAGATTAAAATTACGCAATCAGAGGAAAAGAGAAAATCCCTGTTGTCAAATATGTAATTACGAGGAATCGATACATGGGAAAATCAATTTTCAATTATATTGTATTTATACCGTTCAACGAATTCAGTTATCATTAGGCTGTGATTATGTATTAAATAAGAGTTACGATTAATGATTATTATTTAATGGAACATTAAGAGTAATTATTATATATGTGTTTGTAAGAAATTTAATCTATCTTTTTTTTTTAAATAAACGCGAAAAATTTTACGAGTAAACTAATTTATGTTACTATACTCTTTATGGAATAAAGTAATATTTGTTCACCGTACATTCGCGCATTTTAAAAGGGGTTGCTTGGAAAATTACGGATATCTGTTGAATCGGAGGGCGTGACCGATGTGAAACTCCGGATTTGCGAAATCGCAGCAAAGGGGTTGGTTTAATATCAACAGGTAGAACACGTCCTCTTCCCCACCGGATAAGCCCAGGGCTAAGCGCCGGCGCTGGTTAAACTCCTCTCACCCTCCGAGGGTGTGGATCCTCCCCATTGGTCCGGACGTGTGAAAAAGAGAGCGAGTCTGTCCTGCGCGGATAGAGTCTTTTTAAATCCCTCTCTCTCACTCTTTGAGGGGTGGAGCTTTCCCTCGAGGTTTTTCGTCGTGAGCTTTCAGTAATTTTGTTCATTTTTGCACAAATTAATTTGCACACATCGTTAGATTACATTTGCGCATCACAATTAGCTGATCGATTTTTAAACCCTCGTTTTCCTATTCGATATGTATATATATCGAGATGAATTTTATTTTACCAATTTTATTATCATCTTGGGTTTCTGTGCATTAAAACATCGGTATCATTAATCTCTTCTGTTCGGCAACTTGTCCAATTCGTCTTGTTGCTGAAGCAAAGATCTCATAAATCTTAGTATTCTTTTATTTATTAGATCTACGATTCCTTCCTTGCGACTTTTCAAACATCCGAGATGCGAGATGCGAATTTAATGGTGTAATAAAAAATTTAAAGACCCGCAAGATTTTAAGACTTTCCTACTTGGATAATTTAAGATTTGCTTTAAGTGTTTCATGATTGTTATGATATAAAATATATTATAAAATCTATAGTTCGCAAAAAATTGAAGTTTGCAAAAATATCGCAACAAATAGCCCGAATTATATCTGCTAATCAATCGTGCACATACACGAATGATGCAATATAAATATAACGAACTCTCCTGTATATCTGACCTAATCCTCTACGTCGGATGTTCGCTTTCGGAAAAGAGAAGATACGGTTCCATCGGATGAAAAAGGAAAAAAACGACGAAAAAAAGATCGTAATGCGACGAAGGAAGAAGGGGAAAATATCCGCATGGGTCAGCCGAGAGAGGCTTAGACCACAGAGATGCCCGCTTCAATATCGGCTTTCGGATACTTGAGATATTTATCTAATGTCTTACATTTTCCGCGGCACTGCCCATGCAAATTTCCATTCATGTCTTCTCTACGGAAAAGCCTGCTTTCCTGGATTGCCGCTTTCGCCCCGATCTACGGTCAAAGCTCGTTAAAATATCCATGTCGCAATAATTTAGCTGATATCAATAATGAAAAACTTACGAGATCAAAGTTGGAACGTGTATAGTATAAATTATGAATAGGTATTAAAAAAAAGTGTGATTGTTTCTGAAAATTTGAAATTGCTAATTAACAAATCAAATGCATTAAGGACCTATCAAACTTAATACCAAAAAGTTAATAGTCAAATATATTTGTGTTCCAAGTACGCAAAGTTTCACCAAATGAGATAACTAAGACTAGCCTTGTCGCTCGCAGAAATAAGATAGATATATAAATTCCACTGATGTGTCTCATCATGAACGAACTATCGCGCAAACAGTCAGACAATGCGGACGCATCCACCATACTCTATCTTCTTTCGATTCCTTTTTTTCTCTCGTTCTTTTTATACAGAATAATGTACTCGACACCTCGACACCGCGGCAGTCCGGTTATCTTACGGAGATATCGCGCGGCGTGTACCCTGGCGTTACTTATCAAAGATAACCAGCAACTCAGTGCTCTTTCAACACACGGTCGCAGAAACCGGGACCGTGCTCAGTCATCGATTTTCGTAGACGGAGAGATCCTCGGCGATCGATTTTGTGACGATCTCGACGACGACGCGCGATGACACCGCGCGACCGAGGGCTCGCAAATATCGTTTCGATATAATATTGTGACGAGGAGAAGTGAATCGGTGCGCGGTTGTGCGAGAATGTGGGTTACGCGTGATTATTCGACCTGCCTCGCCTCGATGATGTAAAAGAAACATGGTGGAACGATCGATGATGATGCATCGCGACGTGCTCCTATTGCTGATCACGTGGTTGACGATTTTGTCGATTGCGAGCTGTCAAAGCGTCTGCGCCGTCAGGTGTTTATGCTACCTCAATCAAGAGCCCAGGACTATCCAGTGCTCGAGACAAGGATTACAAACGTTCCCCGAAAATATCAGTGACGTTGTGAGTGTATAGATTTATTTGAGTCTTTTTATCGGTTTCTTTTTTTATCCGCGCGAGATTCGTCTCGCTCTAATTAAGCGTACTAATGACTACAAGGTAATACTAGCTTATTACATCTTATCGCGGCCGCAATGTGCGAAATAAGCATAATAAAAATAGTTGTGCTATTTCGATAACAAAGTGAGAATATGAAAATCATGATATGTAATCAAGATAAATGAATCACTGCATCGATTAAAGTAGCAAGTATCAATGTGCAATTTTGCTTGATGGAAAAAAGTATTTATAAGTGTTTTATAAATATATTATATGTAGTTAATTCATCATATTACTCTAAATTAGTATTTATAATAAATTATGTATATATTAATTATTTTTAATTAGTTGTATTATATTATATTATTAAATAATATTATTAATTAATTGTATAATAAAATTAATTTTTCTGCAATAGGTCGAGCATCTGGATGTGTCAAACAATCTCTTAACTGAGATCACGAACGAAATTAATAGACTGACCGATCTGCAGTATCTAAATTTGGCTAAGAATCAGCTCACTTCTCTGCCAAATAATCTTGAAAAATTGAAAAAATTGCAAAGACTAGATCTATCAGACAACATTATCACAAACACGGCAGATATTGCTTCCATTAACCAGCTATCGTCCCTGATGGTTCTATACATCTCAAAGAATCAATTACTTGACTTGAAAGGGTTAACCAGCGAAGTACTTCAGGCAGTGGATGCCGGCCATTGCCGTATGTATTAAGACGATTATAAAATATAAAATATTTATTGTGCGCGAAGAGTTTTTTAAGTATAATTAATAAAGACAATTTAGAAATTAATATTACACAAAATATAAATTTTAATATATAAAATTTAATTTATATAATTAATACATATGTAAAATATGTAACGTAATATTTAATATGTAAAAAATATTTATGCACATATCAATATTGTCTATTTTTTATACAGAAATATGTAACAAAATATTTTTACAAGATTGTAAACACATATGTTATCAAACTAATAGAGCTTTGTACATTTCAGTTATAAAGGAACTCGGTAATACGTCTTTAGATGGACTGCCAGCTTTGACATCACTGAATCTCGCGGGAAATCCGTTGAAGATTATCGAGCCTGTCAGTAAGACACTGCGATGGTTGGACATGTCTGATTGCGTTTTGAATTACCTATATCCAGATACTTTGAGAAGACTTCCAGAATTAGAAGAATTACATTTGGTCAATAATCCTACGTTAGTGTACAGTACTCGGTAATAAAACTTTATTTGATAATTCATTCTTTTTTTACTAAAAATAATTGTTGAAGAAATTGTATAAAAGATATCTAATAATTTCTTTAATAAAATATCCTTAATAATAATTACACATATGATGAAAAACATAATCTGTTTGCAGATTCTCGACGTTACAACATCCAAAGCTGAAGAGATTGGATGTATCGAGATGTAACCTCGACAGACCTGGTCTTCATGGTTTTCCGTCGCTGACGCACGCTTATCTTTCTCGCAATACAATTCGTATACTGCCGGATCGTATATTCGCCAAGAACAAGCAGTTGACGAATTTGTATCTAAACGCGAACAATTTAGAGCGATTAAACGTCAGCACTTTCGTCGGCCTAATAAAGCTCCAGATACTGGATCTGTCTGCGAATAATCTCGAGGATGTTCACGCAACGACGTTCCAAGAGAACATAGATCTCAGGCTTCTAAATCTTTCTTACAACACTTTACAACGATTTCCGGATCTCTTGTCTCTCGCCACGTCGCTGGATCTATCCTTCAATCTGATCAACCAGTTTAATGCAAACTCTCTGGAGAACATGCCTAGGATCAGAAGTCTAAGTATGAAGGATAATCAACTGCAATTTTTGCCACGACGTTTAAAATCGAAAACATTAAAAATATTGGATGTGCAGAGAAACAGACTCGTCGAGTTGCACAACGACAGTTTCGTTGAATTACCGTCGTTGCAAAAAATTGATTTGTCAGGTACATAATTTTAAATTTATTATTCTTTTGTAATAAGAGCTAATTGTAAAAAAGATATCTGATTTTGAAAACTTGATCGTTTAATTAATTAAATAATTTTTTTATTTGTTTTTATATTTAAACGAGAAAATATTTCTTTAATCCAAATATAATAATATAAAAACATATAAAACATTTATAAAAGCAGCAAAAGTAATTTAACAAAGTAGTGAATTACAGATAAATAATACATTACAAATAAATAGTAAAGTTGGAAATTGATGTCAACAATTCTGATTAACAGAATTTATAGTATCATATACATATACGTAACTATATAAAATATAGAAATACAATGAAATATTAAAAATAAAAATAAAATTAAATAAAAAATCAATTAAATTAACTTTTTAATTATTCTTTAATTTGACAATAAAATATAATTTTTCTGTGAACCTTCTGTTTCTTATTTTATTACATGTTTCGATATACATATATTTCTCTTGTATTAAATGTAATAAATAATTCTTTTTTAGGAAATCGTTTAACAGAGGCGATGGATCCTGACATATTTCAAAAAAATCGAGATTTGACCATAATCCATTTAGGAGATAATCCATGGAGATGCGACTGCACTCAACTCTACAAAATTTATGAATACTTAACAATACCTGTCGACAAAACGATACCATCAAGCTTGATATGCCAGAATCCGGCGAACGTTTCCGGCTACTCTTGGGAAACCGCGTGTTTCGATGCCTGGAATTCCGATTTGTATTACAACAAAGATAGAACTTGGGGAATGGTGATGGTCAGCTTGCTTATCATGGTTGTTCTGTGTGGCACCGTGGTTTCGATCAAACATACCATGAGAATAAAGAGAAGAGTTTTAGAGCAGAGACGACAACTTGAATTGGAAGAAGAAAGAGAAAGAGTACGACTTTTTCACTCGAGACGGTAAGGACCTTTTTAGATTATTAATTACTAAATATATATTAAAATGTTTTATTTTATCTACAATTTATACACATCGATACACACGCACTATCAGTAAACTCACTATGATCCTTCCGTTTCCGTGCTAATCAAAATTAAAATTTTGTTAATTTTAATATCCGCGTTCTGTTTTTTCACATTTTTCGAAAATTGCAGTTGCATATAAGCAATTGCAGGTACATATAAGTTAATGAAAAAATACATCAATCCTAAAATAAACATTTCTATCTGCAACGGATAAGACAGATATCTCTCCAGACCTGCAATCGACCAACGCACAGATTTACATTACAATTTCGTAAGCTGGTACATCATTTAGTTTCCCCAGATGATATCAGAGAACGCGTTACCGACGTAGTTATATTTTTAAATAAATTCTATAAATAAATTTAAATTACTACAGGAATTTTCTGAATTATCTCTTGACATTCTATAAATTATTTTGTTTACAACAATAACAGATAAAATTGAATAAAGGTAATATATTTTCAGAACTCAACGTTTGGACGAAGAAATGGATGAAGACCTGGAGAATTCAGAACCCAGAATTAATCCTCTGGAATTAATTGGTCCACCCACCTACGAGGAAGCAGTCCAGATGCCCAGACTAGTTCATTCCATGGACGCTTTGCACGAGATCTCCATTGAAAATGAAAATCTGCGCCCTATGAGTTCCGTGGATAATCTGCGGGTGAAGAAGAGAAGAACGAGAAGAACGAAGACGAGCCGTAAACGAACTCGAAGCGAGGATGATCTGCTGAAGAGAGAAGAACGTCGGCAGGAACGGATCAGAAGAGAGAGAAACAACTCCAGCGGCAATATCTGCGAGACCATGGACCAACCGCAAAATACGAATCCCAGAAATTCTAGGATCTCGACGACGCGCAGATCCAGAAGGCACAGCGTTGTAGACGATTCCTTGGAATCCAATAGTAGCAAGGACAAACCAAAGCCGCAAACCCCCAGCACGAGAAGGAAAAAGAGAAGACAGGTGTTCCGAGACGAACATGTGACCGATGACGAGGCTTCTGATGTTCAAATAATGGAGCCTAATCGATCCCTCGTCATCAGGGAACTCGAACGCGAACCCAGAAGCGGTTACAGAGATTCATTCGTAGAACGCGGGTCATAAGTTGTTCTATTTAAATTATTTCGCGTATGATTAATTGTTTGATACTTTTAATATATATATATAAGAAATAAATCGCGAGTTTTATGCAGGATTTTTATTGCATTTCGCGCAAAAATATAGCTCATCTTTAAAGAGCTTAAAATTTGTCTTTTCTGAGACAAAAATTAATTAAGAATAATACGATCACACATATTTAATCAATATAAAATAGAATATTAATCTAATAAATACCCTCTTATGTGTCGAAAAGAAATAACACGAATGACAATAGCAATATTAAATAAAATTATCGGATAAGAACCTATCGTCCATCATATTGTTATAGACGTAAAAAATATATATAGATTTCCTACGTCAATGCATATTACTATATCATTTATAAGAATAATAAAAAGAAAATGAGAGAACGGAGAAAAAACATATATAGAACGTAATAGATTATAAATAATATCATTATTAAATATTTAGAAGTATTTTCAATAATACTCCAGTAATTCATTATCAGATTGTTGTAATATACTTTTAAATAATTGTAAATAACAAAAATGTTACGTATTATATATATATATATATTTCACTCACAACATTATTCATCTTTGTGATAGACTGATTATTATGAAAGAAATACAGAAATGATTAAAATTTCTGAAAATTAATTTAAATTGTTTGGTTGTTGAAAATTTATTTAAATTCTTGCATTTAAGTTATTAATATAATTAAAATTTTTTGTATGCAAAGGTAGAATTACATTTATCCTGAATACAATAAATAAACGCAAATATGTATCATTATTTATAGAATATTGGCACGTATATCTGTATAATTGAATTATACATATATCTGAATTATACATATATCTGTACACTTGTTATTTGTATTCCCGGGTCTTTTGTAAATGTTAACAGTCAGAACTGATTCATTTTCCTCAAAAGAAGGTGTTTTCATTGATCGAATATAAAATAAATATTGCGACAAATATCGCTGACGTGTTCGATGATATGAGGAATAAACAAAGTTAAAGGGAACATCAAACAACAGATTATCCGTGAGACGCAGAATTAAAATAAATAATGATATCAACAAAATAACACTCTCTTTTATTTTGATCAAAGACTGAACATATAAATAGAGTCTTTCAATCTTCGCTGAGCTGTTCGTATATTTTATCGCTATTCCCTTAATTAAATTCAACGACGCATGTCGTCGGGACAAATATCGATCTAACAGGGTCATCCGCGCGCTATCTTAAGATTAAATCATATAAACGCTGTGCACAGCGTTCCACACATTTGGCTTAAAGAATCGTACGTTAGAATAATAAAATGATCGATTACGATAATATGATAACACATTGTGGCGCTTTGTCACTCCGCGTACAACCATATGACGCGTCCGTTTAATTGATAATCACGTCCATGGAGTGTTGCCGTACGTATATATACGCAAAGTCGGTTTGTCTCTTTCGTAGATTCCCGCAAAATTAATTTGCACCGCGCACAACGAATAAATATGTTAATACATATAAAAAAAATTCGAGTCGCTACCTTCCATGTGGAAAACCTTCCACAAGGTATTTCAAAGGATCGTTTTGCGGAGAGGGAATCTCGTATCCGTTGTAAGGAATAACAGAATTATTACGTATCTATATACTCTCTGTGACGTGGATAACGAGTCTTACATAACGTTAACTGTAGTAACACAAATCGTTCACCAAGCACTCGCACTCCGTGTCATAAGCCGGCCCGAAGGTCGTTATTCATAATTGACAAACTCCGCCTCTCATTGAATTACAAATTCAATCGCGTAGACGTGTGTGATACCTAAAAACGCCGCGCTAAAACTACGAGGTACGCGTTGTCCAGTTGACAAATATAATCTGTGGCTGAATAGAAGAACGGCACGTAAGGCCAATAGAAGTGTAAAATTCTTTCGAAGCTTCGTACATTGAAGAGAAAAATTTGTTAACTTGACTAAAATTTTCAACTAAACATTATTTTGTTAATTAAACATAAAAAATATTTAAATTAAATTACATTTAACAGAACATATATTTTACCTAAATATTAATATATGTTTAATTAATAAAATAATTTAATTGAAAGATTTAGTCAAATTAACAAATCTTTTTTTTTCAGTGTAGAATAATATGGCAGCGAACTGGAATGCTCCATGATTCGCTGACATGCAGCGAACACTCTCTTCGATCTTCGATATTAATTTAAGAATCTTCGTAATGCAATCTCGACACAACAAATATCGCGGGATATGTACATATATACTCGAGAAAAATATAGTCTTGCTCGCAGAACTAGTGCACTGTGATCTAATCTCGATCTGTTATTTCAGATTTTTACGTATTTTATGTATAACGTAAATGCAAAATAATATCGCACTTTTCTTTCTCGATAAAATTGAGAGAAGTGACATTGAAAATTGCACAATTTCGTCGGCTAATCTTCAGAGGAATGTACAATTTGATGAAAAAAATTATTATTTTATTTTAATTTTTCAGATAGACTTTCAAGAGCAAATTCTTTATTCGAGTTTGTGATTGCTAAGATTGCATTTGAGGATTAATTTTAAAAAATATTCGGACAAAATGATATCATAAATGAAAAATAACGAAATGCAATATCTGAATATTCTATATGGCATAGCAAATATATACATATATAGCCATTTCGCGCATCCGGTAATTCAACGAAACGAGAGAGAGAGATCACATTTGTATCTCAAGCCTGTCGCACATCTTCCTGTCATATTAACAATAGTGTCTTTTACTGTCGGCGCGTGTATATATGCGTACGTGATCTTTGACTTGGTAATCTTATTCATCACGAAAATCCATCGCGAAGAGACTCCTCTACATGTTAGGAACAATGATGTTATTAAAAATCACGACAGATTCGTCGAAAAGCTCTCTTCCCCACACATTCGTCCTTCCGAGATTTTCTCCGTCTTCGATAGACACACACGATCGATGGACATAACGTTCGTTATGTCACGTGGATTCTCCCCAGAACACTGCTTCATGGCGTCTTGACTAGATTCTCACCGGCCATTGTTCGCGTAATGAGTATGGGCGTCTTTGGCACACTGTCGGGATTTTCTTGCAGGGTGATCTTCACTCTTTGAGCTCCGGGGCTGAGCGGCGGCCCGTTGGGCTCCGTTCTTGGTCCGTTCGTCGTTAACGATGAGTCGGATGGCTGTGCGGGACTCGTTCTACCCGCCAGGAAGTTCTCCCTCAAAGAGTTTATGTCCACGCGAGGCCTGTCCTCGCTCTTCTGATCGTCCTGCGAGACCTGCTTTCGGGGCGGCTTCACGGGATCCAGATGATCGGCAGTGCCATTAAGAGATCTTGGCGGTTCTTGAATCGGATGATGATCGCTTTGAATCTTCTCGGTCTTCGCGTTGTCATCGGAGGTGCCTTCCACGAGAGGAACACTTTCGGGATTTCCATTAGAGGCGATCTTGGGTTGAGTCGAATTTCCGGTCTCCTGAAGAAGAGACTTCTGCATGTCCCTCAGCTCGGTGCCGTTCTCCACGTCGCCTCCGCGTTTTCTCTTCTTTCCGCATATATCGCCCCTGTATGCGGCAAAACCGATCAACACCGCCACGACGGCAAGCAGGATTGCCAGAACAATGTACGAGCCCATGCCCTTTTTGGACTGTTTGGCCGGAGATACCTCGGCTTGTTCGTCGTTCAGGCTGTTCACCTCGGCCTTGACATTACCTGATTTGGATTTATCGGCGGATTTCGAGAGCTCCTCGACGCCGCTGGCGATCGCGACCGTCTCGGTGGAAGTTCTATCGACTGGAGAACTTTGACTCGACTCTTCGATGGTTAATTTAGTAGACGACGCGTCTATAAATTGCTCTTGTTCGAGATCCGGATCCTTGGTCTCTGATGGAATGGGAGTTGTCGTAGAACCACTGCCAAAAAGTAGTTCCCATAGAGAGAACGACGATGGTGATTCCCCCTTAGTAGTCTCCTCCTCGACCTTTTCTTCATCATAATGTGTCGAAACGATTCCGGATCCTTCGCCGGAACCATCTTCATCGCCATCGCCAGAACCTGCTGACGGATAAAACAAGCCGTCCTTAAAGTCCTCCTTCTTCCGCGACATCTCGGTCGTGGACGGTTGCTCTTTCTTCATATCGTTGTCGAAGAAGATCTCCCCGTCTTCGGTACTTTGCAAGGAATTTACTGTAGTGAAAGTAGTCTCCTCCGCAGACGCGGTTAACTCCTGCGAAGAGACGGTGGATTCACTCACGGAAGATCCCGTCGAAGATCCTGTCAAATCTATCTTTCCGATTGGGAAAGGCGTCTCTACTTCAGGCTTCTCCGAGCTGTCGGTGGTAGTTGCGTTATATTCTTCCTCTTCCTCTTCCTCCTCGCTATTGAACTCGTTCAGAACGTCGTCTCCGGATCCCGAATACGTCCCGGATCCTTCTACCGCCTGATCGTGTTGCATCTCGCGATCCTGCTCTTCGAAGCTGCAGATGATCGCCGCGCTCGGCTTCATCAGTGACGTGCCTTTCAAATTACCAGGATGCGCGCACACGGCTTTCTTCGACACGGACACCTTCTTCTGCATGATGAGATCTCGTACCTTAAGAGTGGCGCAGTTACAATCCAGCGGATTATCGTGGATGTCTAAGTGTCTGAGATGCTTCAGGCGCATCAGCGCGGTTGGTAGTTGTCGAATGGCGTTTTTTCGCAAATTCAGCTTTCGCAGATTAGTCAGACCCTCCAGAGAAGCTAGTTCCAGATACTCGATATAATTGTCGCTGAGATCGAGACTTCTCAGATTACTAAGGGCTCGAAAACTTCCTGCTTTGATCGTTTTGAATTTACCACCAGACATGTCGAGATGCCTAAGGCTTGTCAAATTGTTGAAGAGACCTGGGACCAGGATGTTCCGTTCGGGCCGAACCGTCAGCATCTCCAGATGATGCGTCTTGATCTGCCCGAGATCTTCCAACTTGTCGCACCACGCTATGGTGCTGTTCTCCAGCTTGCAAAGTCCGTGGGTCCATCCTGAATGATAAAGGAGGATCAGGAGGAACGACAGCAGAGGCGGTGCTGCCTTCATGTTTCGATCTGATATACCTGCAACGGAGAGAAAATCGTAAGTGATTACGTTCGCCGGTAAAGCAACGTGCCGTGTTCGCGTTTTTGAACGGCGCGGCTTTATGTCACGCGATGAATATTCATAATGACGATAGCAATGAAACGTATCGTTCACCTCGGAGATGAATTGCGTAATTTAGGATGTCCCTGAAATTAGGCGCGCCACATGGCAATAAAAGGCGTTCGCATAACGATCCGATGATATTGTTTTGATCAATATTATCGCAAACTCAGAGCTTGTCCTCCTGTAGAAATCCAAGTGAACTCGGCACTCGCGCGCACAGAGACACGTACGACCGAAAGGAGGTCACCGCGATAGGTAGAAGTGGACTTTTAAGAGTTAAATTGGATGCACATGCGCACACACGTGTTATCTGCTACGAAGATAAGCGCGATAATCGACGGAAAGTATATGATTAAATAGATAAAGTAGCGCAGATAACGCAGATACTATACGCACTCATCTTCGCGCGCCTATTTCCGGTACAACATTTCGTCGATGGTAGATAAAAAGAGGAACACCTGTTATTATAATTATTCCGCCTAGTAATAATAACCTGTAAGATTTGATATTGTATAATTTTCACGTGTATTCAACGTGTATTCAAGCAGTACGAGAATGAATGTAAAACGTCCAGTGGTACATACAATTGATTACCTAATGCCTGTAATTAGTACACACACCCGACAGTAATTACCACCAGGCAGCACCTGCAAGATATCCAAGTCGATTCGTAGCTACGCGTTCCGATCTTCGATCGACTAAAGACTGAATCGCGTAAGTTAAAATACTGATAAACCGCCGGTGCCCCATCCAAGCGATTCTTATCAGTGCTATTTTTATCATTGCCTTATTATTGCAATCGTCGAAGCGGGATTGCAGATAAGAGGGTACAGTTCCTAAAATGAAGTAAGAGCTAACCCGTGAAAAGTATGTACAACGCGACGATTGTACTTAATATTTCTCTACTACAGCCAATAATTCGTACATCTTCTGACATGTAAATAATGACATCGTCATGCATGCTTCTCGTGCACGATATGTATAATATATATATATATATATATATACATGCACGTCATGCGGATTCTGGCAAAGACGATTTTTCTTCGTTGCATTTCGATACTTTACTAAAAGAAAAGTCTAATAATATATAATATATTATAATATATATATATATATAGTTATATACATTAACTATTGTAATAATAAAAAAAAAAATTGAATCTTGGAGGTCCGTTCCCATAATAAATATATGTATAAAAATTCAAATAAGAAAAGAAATTGCTTTCATAAAAAAAAACCAATTTTTCTCTTCTCCAAATAATACGTATAAATTACCGATTACAAAGCTCAACAAAAAATATTCCCGTCTTGACATAATATATATGGGATATATACAATATATGGCATAATTATCTCCAAATAAAAAGGCGTGAACATTGAGGTTCTGTATATATTAACATAAAGAATCTTAAGGACGAAGTCGCCGCCGCAGGAAGCTAGGCATTGCATTCGATCGTCTTAGGATCGAGCGGAGGAAATCAAGCAGTACGTCTTTTTCACTCTAAATGTCTTTTCTTCGAACCTTCTGAAACCTCCATGATGGGTGTTCTAAACATAGACGGAACGAACGGAGGGCGAACGGTTTAAACGTGTTATTTGCATTATTTTGCATGCTGTGTCCGCGCGGTGTCGGCATAATGTGACGGCGTAATGTGATGTCATTTCCATGTATAAACAGCGCAAATGCAAGTGGAAGAAAGAAGATATAGAAACGGTGACGTTTTCCCGCGAGATCGCACGACGACGACGAGCATTGAACTCGCGCGAGACCGCTCGCAGTCGACGTTTTAATTGTCCGAGTCGGCATCGCGCGTTTTCTTGCGCGTCTTCTAATACCACGAGGACGGATCGGTTCTCTAAGATCAAAAAATCCCGCCTCTTGTCGACGAGATAAGTCTATCAATGAAATAATGGATTTTGTTGTGCGTGTCAAAGATAAGCCGATATCGATTTCTGCGCGAATTACGTAATCAATAGCATCGTTCAAAATCAGGCGCCTTCTCTCGTCGATTCTCGCAATTCTTCTCGCATAATGTATAAACAAAATTTAGTAAAATTAGATTTTGGCAGCATTAAACAAGAATAAGTATTTTATAGAATTTGTATATATATTTTTTATAAAAGATATATTTATATCTCATAAAAATAGCACATCGTGTGATAACGAATTGATAGACGCGCAATAACTAACCATAACAGTAACAATAAAAAATGGCTGTCATTTTTTATGCAACAAATGTGTATATAATTTCAGCCTCAAACTCAATATTAAAAATTTATTGTGTAATTGTCGACAAATTTTTTCGTTGTTATTTGGGAATTAAATGCAAGTAATATACAAAAATTTATATGGATTTTTTTAAATGCGTAAAAAAATATTTCTCGACTTAATCTTCAAACGGACGCAATCTGCCCTGGAAGTCTCATTATACGCAATGCATTCGCATCGTTTCGCACGTTCTTGTGGGTGGAGGACAGGTCATGGCCAGGGGATCTCTCGCGAGGACAATCCGCTATTTCGTGCTTCGTGAACGTGTCCACACGCTATGTGTAACCGATGGTTTCGCGAAGAGCGACTTCCTGCAATTTCACGAACGTCGATGTTTCCGTACGAAAGTGACTCTACGTGACTCCGTTTCATACACAATGTGTCTATAATGACGTAAAACCTTTTTCTTAGCCTTAACAACCTTGGCTTCTCGGAAAGGAAAAAGAGTCTCTCTTTGTATAACCAAAAGTGACGATAAAAGTTTGCATCCCGCAAACATTTTCTTGACAAGCAACGTCATCTATTTAAAGTTGCGTCAACGTTTCGCGAAAATTTACATTTCGCGAAAGGTACCCGATTATGTTAATTGCGAATTCAAATATGGCAAGCAGACGCGAGAAATCGGTCAGTTAAATTCCAACGTAACTGATTAAAGGTTCATTTTGGACGATAAATAAATCGCGGCAAAGGAATTAGAGGCAAATCTATTTATAATTTTATGTGCCAATTAATTTCAATTTTTTATATATGCATGTATGTGTACATTTCACTGTTTTCGAATATTACACAATATTAAGGAAATACGAATGGAATTATATCACGGAAGTTGTCGCGAATATGGACCGGTTATATAATAGACAGTTTAAAGTGGCCTCTATTATACATCGTATATATAATTATCTTATGTAATTATTCGTAATTGATAACGTGATAATAGTCATAGCAAACTATGTTTTCGTATCATGCAACCGATTTAATACTTTTAATCGATCACTTACAACTTGTTTGCTCAGACGTGGTCTCGACAACACGAGGGCATCTGAAACATACACGAAACAGACAAATAAATACACGTCAAGTGTTTTTATATGTGCGCAATTTTACAGTAAAAAAAAGTACCACGACTCATCGACAATCTCGTCAGACAGACAAAGGGAGATAGAAATAAATAATATCTAAATATTAAAAAAAAAAACAAATTTTATCTAATCAGCGTAAATTAGCGAATAATTAAAGTGTGACGTCAATCGAGACTTTGCCTCGACACTATTTAATGACACATTCGTCCATCGAACATATACTATTGGATATAAATATATATACAAGACAAGTTATTTGCGACAGTTCTCAAAATAATTGCAGTATTATTTGGCAAAGAAATTTGACGTATCCCCGGTCAACGATAATCTACTCCTTCTAATATATCGCTGAAGGAGAACGCCAAGGAGTTAAATCTCATTCGCCTAGATTTTCCCGCCACTTTACGGTCGCACTTTCATTCTCGTTCCCCGTTCTATTGCGCAAGATTCGTCTCGGTGAATTTTTCCCATCTCCAGAGTTCCCGCGTCTACCTCGATCGCTGACTCACTTTCCAAGCACGAGATCTCTAGGCCTTGACTTTCCGGCCCTGGATCGCGTCACCGATTACTTATTACACGCGCGACTCAGTAATTATTATTACAACACATTTCCCCGGATTTTTATTTAGCCCGGCCACACATCTTTCCTCGTTTCATAATCACGCGTCGTTGCAAAATATCTGCCGGCTCGTGCATGCTTGTGTACTAGATTCGACAAGCCGTGTCTCCTCGAGTTCAAGGGGCAACGTCGATTACGTCTTTTACGACGTTACGTTGTTTTAATGTGTTCTTATCACGTTACTAACTGTAGTTTTTTTTAACCGCACAGGCAGTACATACATCGCCGATAATATAACATATTATAGTACATTTCGTTACACTGAATCACTGTGAGCTATGAACTAATAAAAAATAGCTCACATCGCAGAAACCGAAAATACAAAATCGAAATTACACTCTCAGCACTTTATTACTCGATGAAATAAAGTCTGTCTTTGTAAAATCGTCGTTTGATTATATTGAAATCTACACTGAAAAAATCCATGTATTTTTACATGGAAATTACTTGATCAAAAATGGAAAAATTATTTCATTATCTCTGTAATTTTTTCATATTTTTTGGCAGTCAAAATATATATTAATGTAAAATATAGGTCAAATTACTATTTTTATGCAAAAATCATTTGTAATTTTAAATTTATATTATTTTTACTTTATTAAAACTTTATTTATACGCATTTATCCATAACATTTATACATTAGATACTAGCATTTCGTATGTGTAATTCCATGTTCAGTGGAATATTTTTAATCTTGAAAATATATAAGAATATGCTTCATATAAAATTACATAGGTATAATCCATAATCTTTCATGTGGGTAGCAATAGTACATGATTATGCTGGGTCGAAAAAAAGGATAATCATGTAATTTCACACAAATATTTTTTCAGTGTACAACCAAATATTTTAAATAATAATTATCATTTTCTAAAATATAAAGTTATAAAAAATCGACATTACAGAGCCGCACTGTATCTTTTATTCGCAAATTCAGCAGGTAACAAACGAAACACCCAGTATGTTCGGTATGGCTCACTTTTTGCAGACACCATCCTTAACGGTACTGTCGCGTCCTCATGGTCCAGTTCACCAGGTGTTTCAAGGAGAGCCCGATGATTCGAGGAGTCATTCCGGGAGAGGTCATACACCTCCTGTATGGAAGGAAGTTGAAAGTAGCGGAAACTTGGTCCGATACATACCAATGATACAAATGTTAATATACGCATTCTGACCGTCTGTTGACCTCTCGAATCGATCCTTATCTGTCCTAATTTATTCTAATGAATTCGTTTCGTACGAAAGCGAAATTGCGACAAAAAAAAACGTCCGATCTCCTCCATTATTACATCACGACTTTGATATTTTTCTTCGAAATTTTATGTCAAAAATTTGAATATTCATTTAATTAAAAATTAATTTAAAAATTGATTTATTACATTTAAGAGATTGAATTGAAACAGATGTGATGTGTAAGTGCATAATTATATGGATAAACGAAATGACGAGAGATTTTCTGAAGCATCATATCTAAGAACGCGCGATTAATCATGCGCACATGAATGGACTATTATTAACGGACCAGTATCGTAATGTTGCTGTTAACGAACTCTCCTCTACATAATACCGCGTATCGTCCGTGAAATAATACTTCATACATAACGGCATCCCGTTTTAACCGATTAACGCGTTTCGTACTCTCCTCGTTCAATTAATCAATTATCTGCATTTACATTTTATTCCCAACAGAGTAACTCACGAGAGCAATGAATCATGTATACATATAGAACTGACGAGTATAAATCATTGTATAAACATGACGAGACAATTTCATCGACGATTTTTCTAAGAGAGTCGGGTTCCCTTAAAAATTCCTTTTTTTCCAATTTATATTAATGCAATCTTCTCTGTCTGTAGTTTAATTTACGAGATGATTTTTGTCCTTCACGAGCGATGTGCGTATAAGTAATCGACGCTACCGATCGGATGGAGAAATAATCGATCGATCATAATCCATCTATATTGGACTTTGATCGCGAACTCGATAGCGTATAATTCAAGAGTCAATGTAAGATCTCATCAAAAAAGTTTTTTATCTATAGAAAAACGAATAAATTTTCATTTCTTTTCCAAATTACAAATTCTTTGCCAAGTACTTTTATGATGGCTATTAATCTGAGAAAGATATTATTAAAAAATAATAAAAATTTTTTTAAAGAAACTTGTAGTAAACAATGTAGTAATAAATTAATCAAAAAAAATTCTTGAAAGCAGAATATATGAATTTCAAGTAAATCGTAAAAATGTAAATGCGTCTCAAACATACAAAACGCATTTCATTGTATTAACCTAGGTTCAGATATTCAATTTCAACAAAGATTGCCAAGAATTAGACCGGATTTATAACTTCGTTGATCGATAAATCGGCCAAACCTTGTTTGCTATTAGAAACTTATTTACATTGATGATAAACAAAGTAAACCAAAGCAGCCACCAACGTAAATGTGTCTTAATGTATGGACAGGAGGAGCACAAAAAGCTTTAATTTTCGGAAAAATTAAAATACCATGACAAATTTTGTAAAAAAATTCGAGAATTATGCATGATCAGCATTACGTTGAAGTCGTCGATCGATAATATTGATAACACTCGCCGATGCAACCAAAACGTTATGGTTTGGAGCACAGGTATGTATCATACTTTCACGTATATTTCACGTATATTTCACAATATCGTTGTCATCGATCAGCAGATATCTAAAATGTATTACGTACGTGTTTCGGAGACATATTACGTATTTAAGAAATGCCTTTTAAATATATGGCACACAAGAGCAAACTACTCTCTGTACAAGAGTTTCACTTCTATATTGTGAAATAAAATGAAACACAAGAGAGAGTGTATGTATTATACTCTCTCTAAATAATAAACGAGACGTATAACATGAATTATGAGTTATTGTATTAAATGTAATTGTTGCGTCATCGCAATTATCTAATAAATCCCACATTTCTCTCTCACACACTTATTACAGTTATTACATTTATTAAACAAGCAATACTGGTGAGATAGATAATAGAGACCATATACAAGAAGTCAGTCCTCCTTCCTTGCTAGATACTCAAGTATCGATATCGAGCATTCGTGCGAAACGATTAGCAGGCCGCAATGCGTCCAGAAATCACGCTAGAGTCGTCAGGATAGGTCAGTCAACCCCAAGTAATCACGAACAACAAGATTTACATTACCAACGAGTCCTTCCAAGATCGCCTATGATCGAACCGATCGCGATCGATCAATTCCCGCGCATAGCTCGAAACTGTCAGCTTGCATAAATCTCAAGAAATGATCGCGAGCGGCGAAATTCAGACGACTATAATTTTCGATATTTACATTTACCCTAAAACGAGTCTCGTGATTCTCTACATTTTCATGTATTGACATTTCTTTTTATTTCACGTCACTTGCTTTCTCATCTTTTTTTAATGTTACATTTAATTTTCTGCAAGAAAAGAAAAAAAATTTTAAACTACACATTGAGGAAATATTTGTTTGTCACACGTCAGTTTTTTTTAAATAAATATTAAAAATAAACGGAAAAAAGAATTTATATTATCAAACATAATGCATATATTTTCGAACATACGTATTCTTTTATCGATATTAACTTAACAAGTTGTTTATCATATTATAAACTCCGCCGCAAGTTTTTTATGGCATATCGATAGCAAACAAGCGTTCTTATCGTGTCAACGGAGCGAGGACACTCGCGCGAGGGACTCAAGATCATCGTCGTGCGAGAGGCAATCGTCGTTCCTGAAATAATATCCATTGCCTGCCAATGGAAGCAATTAGGAACAATATATCTATGCTGACACACATTTTGCGACGAGACAGTAGGCACGATCGTCGCAAACGTCATTCAAAAGCTAATTCAGAACGACATTTCTAACGCGTTTTCTAACAAGTTCTCTTGTACCAGTCATTGAATGTACTGTTACCGCTTGACAGCTACCTAATATGACGTCCTGTCAAACATCGATTTTTCGCTAATCGTATCGCAGTAAAACTTTTAATTTATTTACATCTAGGAGTTGAATTAAATTCAAATTATATCAGAGAGAGAGAGAGAAATTAAATTTTTTTAGACTTATTAAAATCCAAATTAAATGTATTATTTCATTTCACATATCTCCCGAAAATGTTGACTTTAACGCGTATCAATCATTGTTCTTATCAATATGCTTAAACTTATACATTTTTTGAAATATTGCAATACTTGTTATGTGTTTATTTTTTAAAACAGTATTGTTTAATATTATTTTCTGCATGTTAAATATAATCGATTAAGTTTCGCGTTCAGTATCAAACTTATTAATATTAAACTTAGAGAACTAAAA